GTCCTGGGGAAGTCAAGACGGTCGGTGTAATGCTGGCCATATTACCCACCCGGTGCCGATTGGTCTGTAAAAATATGGGACGCTCTTCCCATATGCCCGATGCGCCTAAGGCGTGAAAAGGAATCTTTACTTTTTATTTTTACATAACATGACCAAAATGATGAATGCCTCCTTCAGATTTTTGTGACTGACGGCCTTCGAGCCCTCGCCTTTTTCAAAACATCTGAGTTACATTTTAGTTGTTTAATGAAATATACGCATTATTAGGTAAAACCACATCTGTGAGACCCCAGAAAACTCCACACTTTCTCATAAAAAAACCCGTAATACGTTTTTGAGTACAAAATCCAAAACATGAAATCACTACAACCGCATCATGGGACAAAAACAACACAGGGAAACATAAAACTCGGAATATCCAAATCACCCACTCCACATCAAAGACATTGCATTCTGGATACTCTCATTGTACCAGGGTATTCACTCCAATCATTGTCTTTAATCAAAGCGTAAAACACTGTTATTTAATCCGACTAGCCAGGATTCGATGTCGACATTATACATGGAAAATAGCCAGTTTAGTCGTGCTCGTTAAAGTTTATTAGAAAAGAAGCGAGCCTAGTGGGACGTACGTCTGTATATAAATTAGAATGCATCCCAATTATTTAAAAAATATGGCTTCCGTTGATATTTGCAGCAAATTATTGGCGATATCTGATTGGCTTTGGTTCAAACGCTTGTTAAACAGACGTTGATGATGCAGGTTTTATGTTGCTGGCTGAATATAGTAAAACGCACTTGTAGTGTTCGAATCAAAGCAAACGAAAGTAGAACTAGAGAGCTTGCATGTAAAAAACATCTACGAGTGGCGAAACGAAAGATGCGGCTAGATGCATTTTCTTACAGTCTCTGTGTGTAGTCGTTGTCTTTTCTTAGTCGAGGTTTCCACTTCACTTCAATCGGGTCATAGCAAACTTGACCCGTTCAGTGTTGCCACTTTTATTTGACAAGAAAACACATCCAAAACGGAGTCAAAAAATATCTAAAAAATCTAAATTTGCGTAGAAAACATCTAGAAAAAAAACCATCCAAATGGAAAGAGTCACAAATTACATAGCAACTGAAATGACTTACCCTATAGAATCGTGTCCTCATCTTTATTGAAGTCTGCCTTACAAGATCCGCAGGATAAACTTAGCTTAGTTGATGAAGTTGAAGATTCAGATCCAAAATGACTCTGGTATGCTTTAGCTGTTCCAATTTCTTTCAATCCCCAATCAGGGAGCTGATAAGTGGAACAGCCTTTTCCTACTCTTATCAGGCAAAATTGTATTGTCAAGATAGCATTTAAGAGGTCAAATTTATCCTATTTCTTATGTTAGATTTGATAAATCCCCTCCAAATGAAAAACATCTAGAAAACATCTACCAGCGTCAAAACGCCATCTAAATGCAAGGAAAAACATCTAAACCTGGATGTAAAACATCGAAAGTGGCAACACTGGCCCCGTTCCCGTGCCTGTAAAAGAAAACATGAAATGTCCCCCACTGTCATATTTGAAAATAATTGGTGAATAAAAAGTTGTCCAAGCACAATCCATAAATATACACACGCAGTAAATGCATCTGGCAGTTACTAAGGGCGCCAAAACTAACAGCCGCCACCAGAACTACAGTTTGTCGTTGATGGAAGTAGTCGGTCACAATTAGTTGGTTATACATATATAGAATTTTTTACATAAGGTATTTTACCAGCCCACACGTAAACCGACCAACGGCCATATTGAGTACCACGATTAAACCGCTGCACAAATGAAAGGTATTCTACCTGAAAATAAAGCACTTAACTCAGTAGCGTAGGTACAGCTCTGTGTGAGCTCTAGGGCCCAATTGTTGAAAGAGGGAGAGAAGGGGGAATAGACGCACTGCTTTTGACAAACCTAAACGTCTACTAATTAAGGGTGTTTCCTTGGAAGTCAAGGCATTATGTCCCTGAGAGGCAAGGAACCATCAATCTGCAAACAAATCAGTCACATCTGTAAAATGCACGTGGACGCAAAATCCGAGTTCAGTAGTGGACGAGCAACCAGAACTTTCGGCCAGAGTTCACAGCTGGTAAACACTAAGAAGAAGAAGATTTGCAGACCACAACAACATTGGACAATGATACAGCGCCCCCCTCCCCTTCCCCACCCCGAGTCATATTTTTTTGGGGAAAACTTTCTTTACTGCTCGCATTTACCACTTTTTTTTATGGCGATGTATTGCAGAGGGTCGTAAGAATGTGAATTCCAGGCCGCGTAGGTAGTAGTACCTTTACACCCCCAAGGTAAAACAGGTTACAATAAGTTCAAGTAAAAATGGCTATTGGTTCACACAGAAACTGTGAAGGTTAGGATTTGTATTTCTGCATAAAAGACTGCAAAAAATAACTTGGCTGTTGGAGAATGAAGTCAATGACTTGTCGGCTCACATTGCCAGTTGCCGAGTCGGTTCCAGTCTGGGGAGAGGGAAAAAAGATCCACGTTCAGCCAGCTCTAAAAGCATATTTAGCTTAAGCAGGTTTCACGGGATCTTTCGGTTGTATTTGTGGATTACCTTTCTTACACCTACTGGCTATGACTGATTTGTTTTGCCGTGATTCATCATCATCATCATGAATTGGAATTGGCCTATTTTAACCGCTACCTATGATGCTAGCCTCTCTTAGATGGCATCAGTTATAACTATGGCTCCTGTTCATGCTCTTATTTTATTGTGTGTTTCATAGTATGGCCATCATTTCATCCATCTATCAATCATGTAAAACAAAACAAAAAATCGACCATGTTCAACCTACTACGAGCAGTATCGGTTATAATTAAAGTATGGTTCCTTTGTGCCAATTTTGCTGGCTAAGAAATGTTTACTGCACCAAAACTAGTGGCATGATTGTAGGTAGGTAAATTGTATCCCACCAGGACATCACACAGAGCGACAAAACACCCGGTGATACAAAGTGCCACCATGCGGATGAGGATCACCCGTAGAGAGGTTCCGGAAACCCCGTTCAGACGTTAGGCCATATTTAAGGTCCGGCTATATTTAGGGTGGGGCTTCAAAATAACTGATTGTTAGGAAGCAAAAATTTCGCTCACTAAAGCAGTCCTTCCAGAGAAACTACCGGGCACAGGGGAAGCTCTTAAGAGCATTGCTCTGTTTGCAATGCACGCCAGATTAGACGCACAGCAAACGTTGATCGTTGAAGAAGACCTTTAGCGACCCGCTCCATCCGGTTTGTCCGTCTGGTGACCCTTGTCAGAACAGACGCCTAAAAAACTATGATGGCCGAAAAATATCTTAGATGTACCGCCCGGTTTGTAGTGCATGCGGGAATATACGTATTTCTAACACTGACCACTGAAGGAAGTAAAATATATACACCGATAAAAGAAAGTAAAATTGTTTGGGAACAAGCAACGAAATCAGTAGAGAAACAAGATTATTATGGCCTGAAGAGAATGAGGCACCTGGGTGTAACCAGAGGGTCTGGCCGGCCCACTACACTCAGAGGAGAGGCAAGACGGACATACAACCAGATTATGACCGGTACCATCAGTATTAGAACTTTGCGCTGGCTGCTGAAGATGAGGAAGGAGCACGCATGAGCATAACCCGAGTGATGTGATGTCAATTCTTGACTCAACTCAACTGTCTGACTCGGTTTGATGGGGTTGCTGGGTTTCGCTCCTTTGGATTCACATCTACATAATGGCCCAATGGGTCAATATATGTCAGTTTTCCAGCTAGATTTACAGAAAGAGAAAATTTAAATTAAAAAATTCACAAATAATTTCTGTATCCCAGAAAACGATACAGACATTTCCACAATCTTGCCTCAGACAGATTTACTGCCTCACTGATAGAGGAACTAAGATTGTACAAAAAATGAAAGTTATTTTCGAACAATATAAGTGTATCTGAAGACGACTGCCAGTGATATCTAGACTTGTCGACACGTTTATGTAGGAGGTGTTATCAATGCGATAGCTCATAGCGGGGCAATAGATGACACAGTTCTGATATTATCACCAGCCTTTCAGTTCGGATGTGAAAGTCTTGATTCCAGAAAGGTCTGCTGTCCTTACATACCATCATCATTGTCGTCGTATTTCAAGTCCTTTGTAAAATGTATCCAGAAAGAAACTTGGTCTACTGTGAACTTTCCCGCCTCCTGCACCTTCATGTCCATCTGAGTTCCTCTGGGTAAAGATTCGATATCACAACAGTTAGGACAAGCACAAATTAGCTCTGTTTCACTCTTTAACAGCCAGCAAATAGTATCCATACTAATAGTATTCATTGTCCTCTGACTAACTACTCGTCTTGCTTTCCGCTTGAGTCTCGAGTGGTGCCCAGAGCCCGCAAACACTGCCCGCTGCATCTTTTGCGCCAGGTTTTAATATCTTCCATTGTATTTGCTGCCTCCTCCAAAGGGCGAGAGATGTCTTCTGCTTTGTGCTGCTGCAGTAGTCCCCCCCCCCCCCCCCTCCCCCCGTCCCCTCTCTTTTTTTTCCAAGTGGAGCAATCCGTCCGATTATACCCAAACATGCCTACATATCTTTATTAGGTATGGTTCACACCACCATCATCATGCCCAGGGTGTTCTTGATATCCTGTCTACTCCACCCTGCTGGTCGACCCCTGCCTCTTCTTCCACTAACAATACTCCCCCTTTTTCCCCCAGTTACTGATATTGCCAAACCATGACTAGTAAAACCACCAATAACTGTGCTTGATCAGAATTAATTTTTGTCAGAGGACAGAAGGAAGCCCACAAACATATATATATATATATATATATATATATATATATATATATATATATATATATAATATATATATTATATATATATATATAAATATATATATATATACTTAAAAACACACACATTTTCGCCATATTTCACCCTTTTTTTTCTGTGCCCCACTTAACTTTTATATATATCAATTTTTTTACAGTTTGTTCCAGAGCCCAAGCAAAACGATGACAATGCATGCTGGGATACCAACAACCATCGGACTAGTTACAATCAGGATTGTGCTGAGGTAAGACCTTCTTCTTCTTCTTCTTCTTCTTCTTCTTCTTCTTCTTCTTCTTCTTCTTCTTCTTCTTCTTCAACTTCTTCTTCTTCTTCCTTCTTTCTTCTTCTTCTGCTTCTTCTTCTTCTTCTTCTTCCTCTTCTCTCTTCTTCTTCTTCTTTCTTCTTCATTTTCCCTCTTCTTCTTCAACTTTCTTCTTCTGCTGCTGTTAATTTTTCTTCTGCTTCTGCCTCTTCATCTTTTTCTTCTTCTCTTCTTCTTCTTCTTCTTCTTCTTCTTCTTCTTTCTTCTTCGTCTTCTTCTTTCTTCTTCAACTTCTTCTTCTGCTCGGCCTGCTGCCGTTCTTCTTCTTCTTCTTCTTCTTCTTCATTCTTCTTCTTCTTTTCTTCTTCTTCTTCTTCTTCTTCTTCTCTCTTCTTCTTCTTCTTATCTTTTTCTTCTATCTTCTTCTTCTTCTTCTTCTTCTTCTTCTTCTTCTTCTTCTTCTTCTTCTTCTTCTTCTTCTTCTTCTTCTTCTTCTTCTTCTTCTTCTGCTTCTTGCAACTTCTTCTTCTTCTTCTTCTTCTTCTTCTTCTTCTGCTTCTGCAACTTCTTCTTCTTCCTCTTCTTCTTCTACCTTCGTTCTGAAAGTACGATTGGTACGTTTTATTTTGGCTAAACTGCGCCTTTTCGCAACACCCTAATTATTCTTCGCATTGTATATCCTTGTTGAGGGCAGGGCAAGGGTCTATCGTTGTTTTTAACCACCCCCCCCCCCCCCCCCCCATAACCCCGAAAAAAATTAAAGTCCCGCAACCCATACGACAAGTAATTATTATTATTACTATTAATGTTTATTCATCATTTTATCCACAGTGTTGGCATTTATGCAAGACGTTCATTACGAGCCCTTCATTCATGGGCCCTGCTTGTAACAGCAACAGACTCTGTGTAAGTACATACTTCCACTGTCTGCAGCCTGTTACCTAAATTTTAACTCGTCGAAATCCCAGAGGGCTCAAATAAACACACTGTATAAAAAAATAAAAATAAAACGAAGTAACGTAAATACTGGGATAAAACAATTTTGTGCTATGGCTACGTAAATAATTAGGAAATTTCTATTTATAATTATGAAGTAAATGCCTGGTACTGAAACAATTCTTTTTTTTTTCCTTCTTGGCGTTCACGGACTGTAAATTCCGGTAGAAATTTCTGATTGTTCGTCCACTTGTGGACTTTAGTCTAGTCCCAGAACTACGCTTTGTGTGCACATTGATGATATCACATATAAGACCTTTCTGTATGCAAGCTGTTGGTTCATGGCCTCGCGGGCTATGTACTTCGACTAATTAACACTCCTAATTAATATGTTAGGACATGCTTGTTATGGGGGTTGTGGGGTATTCTTTTCCCCTAAACAATGGAACCCCGGAACCGACTCGGGAAACTGCCTTTTCCCAAGAGTCTCCAGTCTAGCATCCAACGGATCCTTTCCTTTTTCATGAGTTATTTGTTGGATTATCCTCACAGCACTCCGGACACACCCAAAGGCGCTCAGATTTCCCTCTTAACATATTTATCAGCGTCGCGCGGTTAACAGTGGCAGTCCTATGCTGGTTGACAAGACTTCGTCCCATGTGGGACGACATGTTTCTTATTTTGAAGTCCTATCCTGGATTTTTCCAAGGCCGCAATATAGCCTGACGGCTGAACGCGGTTTTTGGAACCTCTCTACGGGTGATTCTCATTCGCATGGTGGCACTTTGTGTCACCGGGTGTTTACCGCTCTGTGTGATGTCCTGGTGGGGTAAAATATACTTACTAACTCTAACTCTTCAGACAGTTGCTTGTACCATCGGAATTGGAACTCTTCGTTTACTGCCGAAGATAGGGACGTAGCGCTTATCGGAGTGCCCGAGTGTTTTGTTGTCGATTCTTAATTCAACATTCAACATTCTCCCTTTTCATTTTCCAACTAATTCTGACAAACTGAAATATGCCTGATTGTCTTCTTGTTACCTGAAAGGAATATTCGACCTGATGTATACTGGTATACAGTTAGTTGCGTATCCTTTACAGGACGTCGCAGAACCAATCCCAGAATTTTTTTTGTTTTTTGTTTGTTTTGGCTGTTGTGGTTTTTCTAGGCAAATTTACGTTCAGTAGTATGCCACTGCACACTGAACGGTCAGATCTACGTACCACTGTTAAACCAACGCAAGACAACTGTCCGCAATTGGGATCGAACCCGGCTTCACTGCATTACTAAGCCTTTGCACCGCCTAAGCCACAGAGGCCCACTATATTGGTATATAATAGTTGTATAATAGCTGCTTGCCTCATGTATTGATCAACTTAAAAATTTCCACGTCTTTTTATGCTTTGATTAAATAATATTTTTCTAGTTCTCTTTACGTCACGACAAAGTTATATTTACTGAGTTCTTTTCATAAGATTCGGTTTTATTATTTCGTCACATTGGTTTAGACAATTTTAAATTTCTTTGTTTCTCTTCAGAAGACCCAGTTTTAATTATTTCTTCACCACAGTGTGATTCTTCCATTGTTTTCTGTTAACATATTAACTTCATAATTCGTTGGCTGTTTGTGGTTGTGCAAGGTAATTTAACGCTCAGTAGTTAGTGCTCATGCCGTTGTTAAAATTAACGCAAAGCGGTGTGTTGTTGAATCATCTGTAGCCACAAAATTACCCAGTATTTTCGGAATTATGAAACCGCGTCCGTAACCTCTAAACATCTCCTCTAAACAGTGGCAGACGCTGACTCTTATTCTTTTAAAAGTTATTTATGTATACTTTACAGGACGTCGCAGAACCAACCATAGTATTTGCTATGGTTTTTCTAGGCAAATTATTACTTGAGCAGTTTGTCATCACTGCCTGAACAGGCAACTCTCGGTACTGCTTTCGAAGCCAACGCAAGACAGTTCGTCCGCGACTGGGATCGAACCCGGTACCCCCAGCATTACGAAGCGTGTTCGCAACGCCTAAGCCACAGACACCTACCTATTCTGTAGAGACACGTAAATCAAAATAGAGACCCCGTGATATCCATTGATTATATTATGTATTTGCTCACGCGAATCAGCGCACATACACCACGTTGTGTTGACCCAGTAGGCTCGCGGAAAACAATCCGCATGGTAAACGTCGCTTCAACAGAATACACTATTGAGCAGAAGTGAAGCAGAGCGGGATGAAGTGTTAAGTGGCTGTCTTCAAACATGGCATGAGGGTTTCTTTTTTAAACAGTGAACCGGCAGTGAATGTAAATATTGACACGGTCTTTTTATGTCCGCGATGCTGGCTCCTGGATGTTAAATAAGCACAAGTGGGAAAACAATGTGGAGATCATTCCTGCAAATTTTTTAACGCCTGCTAGTAAATTCAGACCGGAATTAGAGGCTATTTGAAGATGGCGGTATTTATGAGTGGGTGGGTGTTTAGGGGTTGGATGCATCTGCGTGCTATGTGGATTTAAACTGTGCTTCGTTCATTTCTTATCCTCTTCAACACTTCACCTGTTGGGCTGGTGGTGTTTAGCAATGCCTCGGCGAAGGAGAATATCGAAAACGATTTGGTCGAAATGTTGGCTGCCGTGTTTGTATATATTTCCCTTCGCCGAGGTCCGTCATTGCTTTTTCTACAGTTTTGGTGGTTTTCTGTATCAGATGGTCTAAAAGTGGTAGGACAATTAAGGAAAGAAAGGGTAGAAAAGGATGGAAGAAATATAACGCATACGTCAACTGTACAAAACCGGTGACAGTTCAGTTGAGTTGAGTCAAAATTGACATTACAGCACGCGGGGCATTCCCATGCGTGCTCCGTCCTCATCTTCAGCAGCCAGCACAGAGTTCCAATACTGGTGGTACCGGTCATAATATGTCCGTTTTGCCTTTCTTCTCAGTGTAGTGACCCTCTGAAAACACCCATGTGCCTCATTCTCTTCAGACCATAATAATCCTGCTCCTCTACTGATTCCGTTGCTTGTTCCCAAAGGGCCTTGACCACATCTGCCTGGTCATGTATCAATTCACCACCCAGTGGTGCAGATCCAGCCAATCTGCCTGCCTGTTCATTACATTACCCACTACGCCGGCACAGCCTGGAGAAAAGATCCAAAGTATGCTCACTACCCGTAACCTTCCCAGCGAAGCTTGCCACTCTGCTCGAGGCATCCCTGTCTTCACCTCTATCAGCATGCTTTCAGAGTGTGTTACAATTACGACATGTATACGCCTCTTGTTCTCTTACCACCAGAGAGCTGCAGTTACCGCCTCCACCTCTATTCTCATGCTACATGCTGTGATCAGTGACAAAATCAGTGACAATAAACAAACAAGAGCCTTCATCTGCAGAACAGTAACGAGAAACAGACGAAACATGAACGGACTCTAGAATGACTACATTAGGGTATTCAACAATTATATAAACAAAAGAAACAAAATAATCGTTACCGACAGACGTTAATTTCAGATCAGCTGGGCAACCTTCGACCCGTTATTTGCGATGCCCAGTGAATTTAGCCGATTTTCAGGGCTTATGTTAGAAAAGTTAACCCAAAGATAAAACCTGATGGCTAGAGCACTGGCAAGTCCGTACTGTTGTTCTAGTCTGCCAGTGCAACGATCCAGGTCGTCAGATTGTCCTTGCCTACAAACTCGATGGTCCACAATTCTCTAGCCGGCGGTCATGACAGTTCGGTACAGCGACACTGACCTTGTGATCGGGTTGTCCTATGTTGTCAGCAAAGGCATAGGAACTTGGGGCTCGAGCCCTGTGAGCCCCGCCTCTCCACCCCCACCATGTAAGTGGAGAGGCTGATCCCCCTGCCTCCCAGTTCTGTGGTTCTAGGCTTTTTGTCAAGTAGTCACAGTGTTCTGGTGCTATGACTCTGATCTTCTGATTCCTTAATCCTAGTAGGCAGAGTCTTATGGATACTTTCTCCATGGTATGTCGGTGTATTGGGAAATGAACAGTCAGGCAGACTGGCCGATTCTCCATAAATTAATGGTTAATTAGTGCATGCCAAGCTAACTATTGCAAGGGAATTTGTTGGCGAGTGAAAACAGTGCGGGTGCACACATGAACCATCACAGTCGGAGGAAAATAGTGCTTCGAGGAGTGACCGGGGGATATGGACAATCAACACTGAGAAGAAAGGCGAAAATGATGTACAATTAGACTTTCTGGTTCCATCGTAACACGAACTCTATGCTTGCTGCTCAAGATGGGAACGGGGCGCTTATGGGATTACCCTGAATGCTATGACGTCGATTCCTAATTAAACAATAAACATTCTCCCAGACGCTGGTTAATGAAAAGGTAGGGGGGAAAATAACAAGAGTATACTTACTTCCTGAGTAAATTACAAAAGACAGTGATGTTCATACTAGAGACAACTTTGCAGATATAGATAATTTATTTCAAGCGAACCAAAGAAGAAGAAGCCCGGCTCTCTAGCGTAGTTGGCTAAACCGGATTGCGCGGTGAGCGGGTGACGAACTCCTTGTGGTCCGGGTTCACTCCCGGGGGTAGGCAGAAAAGCCACATTTTCTCCCAGATTTGCGGTATTTACAATGGAATCAAGGCCGAAAGGTTGCGATACCCATAATACCGAGCCTAAGGGTTAACAACTCATGGCTTCTGGATACTAAAACAAACAAACAAAGAAGAAGAAGAGGAACATACTTCCTTGCACCAGTTACTCGCCTTTTAATATCGGGACAACAATTATCATCCAGACAATGTTTATGTATCACTGACTATTTACGGTAAATATCTTCAATAACAGAAACATGCCTTTCATATAAAGACCGTATTTAATAATATGTCATCTGGTTATCAACAGGGCGAAGCCTGCCACACAGCGTGCAACTTCATAGCAGACAAACCCAAAGGTAAGTGGTATCAGATTGTTTAAATTATGAATGTGTCTCAGACTGGGCTTTCATTACCTATACATTTATCTGGACAATTGCATTGGCGGAGCTTTCATCCTTAAACTGCGCGTATCGTTAATGTTTAATAATGTGCCCAAACAGGAATTGTGTTGTTTGAAGATGTGGTGTTCATATTTTTGTTTCTGATTACGGAAGTGGCTAGAAGAAGTGGAAAGCCTTTAGGGTTTGTTGCATAAGCATGCAAACTCTCTCTCTCTCTCTCTCTCTCTCTCTCTCTCTCTCTCTCTCTCTCTCTCTCTCTCTCTCTCTCTCTCTCTCTCTCTCTCACACACACACAACACACACACACACACACACATATATATAGATATATATACATTACACACACACACACAACCCCTTAAACAACTCACAGACAAAGTCAAATAAGACACATCACACACAAATACACACACACACACACACACACACACACACACACACACACACACACACGCACTTCATTTTTAAAAATAATACAAAACACACAAACTGCCAGTTTTCCCCGTGAGGGTACCAGGGCCCCATAGGGGAGGGGGGTGGAGAAGGGGAATAATCATTTCGTACAAGGCGACTAAATAGGGGATTTTCCTTTGAAGTAGGGTGTGCATCTGCCTAAGAAGCTAGGAACCAACAGTTTGCATATAAATAAGCTAGATGTGTAAAACGGATATGCATATTCATGCAAAATTCATGTTTTGGATTAAGACACAGGAACCAACAGTTTGTATATAAATAAGCTAGATGTGTAAAACGGATATGCATATTCATGCAAAATTCAAGTTTTGGAATAAAACCTAAGTCCAGAAATGGACGAACAACCAGAACTTTATTACGACATGCTTGTTAGGGGCAGCGTGGATTTTTATCATGATACGGAGCGTCGCAGGTCGACCCAGCCTAAAATGGGTACCACGATGTATGTACTGGGGAAGTGAAGACAGCCGGCGTAATGCTGACCAAATTACCCACCTTGTGCCAGTTGGTCTGTAAAAATATGGGTGCTCCTCTTTTTGCCCGATGCGCCTAAACACGTGAAAAGGGATCTTTACTTACTTACTTTTCTAGGGCGGCCGCCTAGTTCTTTGAGTGCTCTGCGGAATACTACTTGAGAATTACCGATCTAGAGACGACAGGTTCGATTTACAAAGTGAGAACCAAGATTTTCACAACTCTAATTCTGCCAAGAGGGTTCTCCCATCTCTGGTCCCTTCTTCTCCGTCTATGAGTGACAATCAGTGAGTTACAATTTGTTAACACACTGTGTCGTGGTTTACAGCTAGACTGCGTTGTCTGTGCCCTTCTGCCAGCAAATCTGATTTCAGCGAACGCCCTAATTAGTAATATTTGACTCCGTTATGCCATGGAGTGGTGGTGGGAGAAGTGGTTCTACCCCCCCCCCCCCGGGCGCCCCTCTTTTCCCTCAAAAACCGAGTTCCAGGGGCCGCATGTGAAAGTTTCTAAACATAACCCAGTTTACGGTGATTATCACGTTATCTGAGCTGAGACAAAATTTGACGTCACAGCACTCGGGGCATTCCCATACGCGCTCCGCCCCCATCCTCAGTAGCGAGCGCAGAGTTCCAGTACAAATGATGCCAGTCGAAGTCTGGTTGTATGTCCGTCTTGCCTTTCATCTGAGCGTAGTGTGCTGGCCGAACCCTCAGGTCACACCCAGGTGCACCATTCTCTCCAGCAAATTATAATCTAGTTTCTCTTCTGACTTCGTTACTTGTTCCCAAAGGGCCCTGACCATATGTGTCTTGTCATGTATCATTTCACTATGTTTTTCACGTTATTTGATTCACAGCCCTGCCAATGGAAGGAGAGTGGAGATTTCCAGATGAAGTGAAATCCGACACGGATGCCCGGGAGATGAATATACAATGGAAGGCGCCAGTACTGGACACGTCAAATCCCAAAAGTGCATTGACTTCCGTCTCCAAACTGGGGCCAATCGTCTACGTCCTGTTTTCCAGAAACAGCAATAAGCCACAGGATGGATGGGCTGTGGTACAGTTGGTAAGTTGACTTATTTGCTTGTGTATTCGTTCTACAAGGAGCGGCTGGCGGAACGGTTAGATCGCTGGGCACTCAAGCAGTAGACCCAGGTTCGATCCTCGGTAAGGCTGTGAATTTTTTTCTGTCAGAGGCAAAATAAAATTCTCATGGCGGCAGCACTAGCTATGCGGCCGTCAAAAAATTAATAGGCAAACGGTATGCAGCTAGTTTTCTTCTTCTTTTTCTTTTTCGTCTTTTTCTTGCTCCTCCTCTTCTTCGAGCAAGCAATATCACTCATATCGCGTTTACTTCTCAAAATATTTCCTGACACCCAGCTGGGTGGAGCAGACAGCCTAAGTTAATGTTTACCCATCCCCTCCGCAGTGGGAATTCAAACATATAACCTCTGAGCCGTCAAGCAAGCGTGGGTGAGGGAGCGCTAGAATCGAAGCCGTGTCCAGTTTTGCTGACAATGAATTAGACTAAATTCTTCAGACACTTTCCTGCCTTCTGCCACATCTCATGTCTATAGAATGAATGCAAGGATGAATAAACTAGCCAAATGAATGAATAAATGAAGGAACGAACGAACGAACGAACAAACGAACGAACGAATGAATGAATTAATTAATGAATGAACGAATGAGTCGAGAATTCCCATCACTTCACAAGGGATATTACCACATATGCCTCGTCCCTATCTCCAGTAGCCAACGAAGAGCTTCCAAGCTCGTCGTGCCTACGGTCACAAAGCAATGAAAACTCTTTGAAAACACTTGCCCCGTGTACAGACTGTTCGTTCGCCTGTTGATTACTGTGTAAATTATTTATCACGATGTTTCCGCGGCTTTCCCATTGTGGCCAGGGAATATGAAAAGATGCTAGTCAAAACAAGGAGATGAATAATTGATAGCCCGGCTCAATAGACATAAGCTCTTCATAATTGTCGCACGGCAGGAATCGCTCAGTTGTCTGAAAATCGAACCACGTAGATCGAATAAGCGATTCTTAGGCACAACTGTTCAACTGAAAAAAGGAAGGGAGGAGGGGGCGGAAGGGGGAAGGGGTGTAGCCTCATGGTATGTGTAACTTGTTTAATTGTAAGGCAGGGAATGTGCATTAACACAAGTGGAAAAGCTTTGATGCGGCTGACATGTTTTTGAGACTGGTGTTGCAAATACCTTGGACAGTCGTAGTAAATAAGTGGTAATCGGGGCGCAGCAAAGAGGGAACTAAATGGTATGATAGAACAACTAATGTAGAGCTTTGTAAGAGAACTAAGCAAGCCCCAGTGGGCCAAGAGGTGAGGAAAAGACGCTCGCTCGTGTTGGATAGGACACACACCGAGAAAAACGGAGAACTGCATAGCTAGAATGTCTTTGTATTGAAACTCACAGGGACATAGGAATAAAGGAAGGCAACAACAACAACAACAACAACAAACACGGAGAAGAGAGCTAGAGAATGAAGTGAGAAAGATGGGGAGGACATGGGGAGAGCTGCATGCGATAGCAAAGGATAGAACGACTTGGCGTGAGTTGGTGGAGGGCCTATACTCCATTGGGGGCTAGAAAGGCAGAAAAGAAGAAGAAGAAGAAGAAGAAGAAGAAGAAGAAGAAAAAGAAGAAGAAGAAGAAGAAGAAGAAGAAGAAGAAGAAGAAGAAGAAGAAGAAGAAGAAGAAGAAGAAGAAGAAGAAGAAGAAGAAGAAGAAGAAGAAGAAGAAGAAGAAGAAGAAGAAGAAGAAGAAGAAGAAGAAGAAGAAGAAGAAGAAAAATCAAGGAATCGTAATTTTAACTTCATCAGAAATGGGTGGCCCTCACAGTTGCTCCGTTCCTGTGCCAACGAGAAGCACACAGAACGGCTATCACTGTTGCTTGTAGAAATATGGACACAGACTGCAGTCTCAGCAAATCCAATAGCAATCACACACGCATTCAATGCACGAGGCAGCCATCAGAAGTGCCAACACAAACATTCCGACACAGAGTACATAACCAAACAAAAATTGTTAAGGGGAAAACCTTCTATTTTCTGGACTAGAAAATAGATCCAAACATAAGACAGGGACAATTAGTATCTTCTTTAGCCATGCGATGAGAATGGAGAAGATACCGTGACTTCAAAGTGCATACAGTTAGAAATGTGCATGGGAGAAGATTTGGGCACTAATAAAAGTGTCTAATGGGCAATGATACCCTAATGTATGTGTGTGTGTGAGTGAGTGTGTGCGCGCGCGCATGTGTGCGTACGTGTTCCCGTCCACAAGTCTGCACATATATATGTAAAATCTGTGTCTTCAGTATCTATGTTTAAACTAGGGCTGTACCGAATATTTGCTTCGTATTCGCTTCGGGGCCGAATAGTAGGACCTATTCACTATTCCGTATTCGGCCGAATAGTTGCGGTCGGGCCGAAAATAAATAGTAGTTACCTCACAGCTTCTTCTGCATACACGGGCTTAATGCTGACAACATGAAACTATTGGTTTTGTTGAAAGCTAATGCAGCTTTCCTGCATTACCTAAGCTGTCAGTGACAATTTCCAAGTTTAGTTACCTGTTATAGTACTTAGGATTCTTTCAATCCTAGTTATTAGTTACCACAGACTCACTAAAGGATGCAGATTGTGAAGAGAAGGCCAGCCAGAGAGATGAATGGAGACGAGTGATATCTGCAGCAGTAAACCTCAAGGGCTCAGAATGCTAAAGATAAGATGACTATTCTGTGCTACTTTATGTGAAGTAAAAGTTCAGCGTACATTTGACATTATGAATTTTTTTTTTTAAAGATATATTTTATACACTATTCGTATTCGTATTCGGCCGAATAGTTGGTCCCGCTATTCGTATTCGGTCGAATAGTCAAAATCATTATTCGGTACAGCCCTAGTTTAAACTATTCTTAGTTGTCAAGGAAAGAGCTAATACACTGTCCAGCTCTGCCTTAGTTGTTGATGACCGCCCGATGGATCACTCCGACTTTGTTAATGTCCTTAAAGAGATCAGACGATCTGAAGATTTTGGGAACAGGGTGTCCTGATCATTGATAAGAATGAGAGAATTGAGAGTAAAGATCGGCGCAGTCAGGCATCATAGGCACACAGGGCATACACCAGGTCATGGTAACCAGCATCAGTTTACACTATAAACCGCAAACGCTGAAGTATATCCTGAATGGGAAATTTGAGCACCTATAGTCAAATCCGGAGTGCTGTGAACATAACCCAATGCATTTCATTCCTTATCAGAAGGGACATTATGATGATGATGATGATGATGATGATGATAGACGTAACTCAAACTACTTTTTTTTTAATAAATCGTTTTTTTTTCCGCCGGAAAAAAACCGACTTCAAACCCCCATCCCAACACACCTCTCTATACCATAACTTTATATACCTAATTCAAACAGCTGATCTTTGACCAGTGACTCTTTTTTTTTTTTTTTACGAGCCAAGGGTTAGTACTCTGTACATACACCGACCTGTCCCCAATACCGGAAAAACATCCCGCATATGTCAAAACGAAATCCAGTCTCTACAAACATAGAACCCGGCCTCAGATTGGCTCATACATGTGGAACAGGTTTGACGATTGGCCCAAGCATGTGGCAAAGCTTGCCCGGATCGGTTACAGGGAAAACAGTGCATCCGTTCACGCAACGCATATATGGTTTCCGCTAGGTGAAATCGATTGTGAGGGAGAAAAAAAAAACACAACTAAATAGTAGATTCTCGAACCGCATTTACCGTTGCGATTAATGGCAAGAGGTTTATAGACGTGTAATTTGCTCAGGAGGTTTATAGAGATCTAATTTGCTCATCAGTGTCAGATATAGGAGAGGTAATCTTGCTTTATGTTGATTTCTCAGGGCATTTGGAGACTAGAGGTTGGGCTGTCACTGCTGAACTAACCGTCATCACATCCTCGTCATTATCATCATCACTGTCATCATCAACATAATCATCAGATCATCATCATCGTCATGTAACTTCAGATAAACGTAAGCGGTCATATTTCGCCGTCTCACGCGATCGTTATATCGGATCAGGTCGACGTTGTTGTCTCGACCAATCCAAATCTACAAAACATCCAGTCATCTCTCTGCCTCCCCTTTGCTGTCGACTGTCGTCGCCAAGTTCTGCAGTCCATTCCTTATCACAGCAAAGAAAACTCACTGGCTACGTCTAATTTGTCTGATGCCACAACAGCTTTATCAAAAGACAAACGCTCAACAACAACAAAATGTTAAAAGAGGAACACACAAAATTTAAGCGGATAATAGACTGAACCTGTTATTCCTATCAACAGAGAGAAGATGGGTATCCAACGGTTATGTAAACATTCCTACACGCCGACCCGATCTGTTAGTTCAAGTGACTCAAAAACCCAGTACTATTTATCCTGTGAAAACAAAACATTCGTGCTTACAAAGCTAGGAAAGGTTGATACGTGGCTCTGTACAGCACTAAAAACT